CCACACCAGCCAAGGTTAGTGACAAATTGGAATGTTTCCAGAGGAGAAAACCCTAAATGATAAGAGGCCTGGAAGGAAAAATTTAGAGAGGCATTGGGTATATTTAGCCTGGTGGAGAGAAGGCTGCAGGGAGATATAATAATTGCCTCCAAGATTTTGAAGGGTTGTCATCTAGAGGACAGATGTGTTCTATTTTGAAAATAGAACAAGAAACAATGGTTCTGGATTACAAGGAAGTAGATTTTGTAAAGTAATTATTTTATTTGAAATAATTCTTAATGTAAGATCCATCCAACAGTGCAACAGAAATAGTGGACTCTGCTTCCCTGGAGGTGGTTAAACAGAGGCTAAATTTGTGGCTGTTGTAATAGTGGATTCCTGCACTGGGCAGGATATCAGACTAGACAACCTCCAAGTTATCTTCCAAATTTTATATTCTAAGATTCTAATAGTGTTAGCCTATCTACACAGCTGATGTCATGCTGCAATTTCATGGCACCTTGCTGAAATAATATAATTAAGTATTATGGAAATGTAAAGGGTTAGGGTTAAGGTCTAAGGAAACTCCACAAAACTGTAGAGTATACAAGTGGACATTTGCTCTATTTACTCTATTTACTCCACAAAATATTTACTCTACAAAAATGTAGAGTATACAAAATGAATATTTATAACTAGGTACAGTCATTGGTACCTTATGGTTTCATGCATCCTGATTGAGATTCATTTTAGCACTCCTGCTTCTCATTCATTTTTGTAGGTCAGTCTGGGGTTGCCTCAGCAGCAAGAATTGCCAGGATCAAACATTGATCTTACACTGAAAGCAGCTCCTGGTTCGTTATGTGCTGTCCGTGCAGTGGATCAAAGTGTCTTCCTCCTCAAGGAGGAGCAAGAGCTCTCCAAGGAAACTGTAAGGAACACATAGAGAAAGAGGGAGTTGGTGAAAGAGATATGATGGCCGGGAAGAGGAAATGGATGGGAAATGGAAGCTTCTTGTTTATAGCATTGTTCTACAATCCAATGTTTAAAAGTGCAGGAATAAAAGTGGTGCATTATTAAAATGATAAACATGACCCAGTAAAACACATAAATTGCAGTAACTCCAGTGACAGTGTTTGGTCTGGGAATGACAGCCTGAATCACATCTTTTGCTAGACAGCCCTTGTGTTCCTTTGCAGGTATATGGCATGTTTGATTTCTCTGAAGGATACCCTTATCAGGTCTCTGAGTATGACTATTGCTTTGAACCTTTCCAACCGTGGTGGCGTAGGAGGCGCTCTGTCTGGAGACCCCAGTATGACTTTGGGATTGACCTCTTCAGTTTCCTCAAGGTAGATATCCTTCCATTTTTTTGTTGTACCTTCTTATTTAGCAAGCCAGTGTGGAGGAGACCCTGAGTCATATTCAGGGATCCCCAAACCACACCAGTGGCTTTTCTAAAATTGTGCCCTGAGGCAAGAGAAACGGCCCATTGTTTTATAAGCGTCCCTGCTGCCCTGGGCAAGAAACTGTCAATAGTTGAAGAAGGAATGATAGAAGTGTTGGGACTCCCTGTTGTCAATCAGCTTTTGTGGAGTTTGAAAGTAGGATAAAAACACCCCAGATTCTCTACCAGATAGAATGGTGATAAGCATGCCCCAAGGGCAACGGTGCCTCCTCCACTTACCCTTTAGCTCTCAGTAATGCCTCCATTTGAAGAGACAGGGGAAAGGAAGCTGCACAGCTAGGTGAAGAACTGTGAAAAGATATGGCAGGGTTGAGGCGGGGATCTGATGCTTTGGCTTGAAAGTACAGACACAAATAATACAATCTTCCTTTGATCTTCTTCACTGCTGACTTATGACAGGAAATGGGACTGAAGGTCATGTCAAACTACAAAATAAAGAAGTCGGCTTCATGCAGCAGCTATCCATTTTATGGTGTCACCTCAGCAGGTAAGGTTTTTTCCAAATTCTTGACTGAACACAGGCAATCATGAGTGTATGGATGTGTATAAGCATGAATGCATAGATGCATGTGTTTACTACCAACATGACGATAGCTTTCTTCAGTTTCATCTGCATTTATAGGTTTGGCAGGTTTATAAAGTTCAGAAGCAAGTAAAACCTATTTGATGAGACAAAGAAAGGTGTATCAACACAGCAGTCAATGTTTCACTTTTTGATTCTCTTTCAAAAGAATTCACTTTTTACTAGCTCACTTTTTCAGCGTCCCTTGCTAATAAATTAGTCAAAGCACTTCAGGAGAAAAACAGGCTCTTTGCCTATATTCTTTTTGCTTTACAACAGCTATGCCAAGGGTGTTCACAACAGAAGCTTACATGGCCCTACCTTCTCCCTCACCTGACCAACCCTTTGAATCCCAAGTCCGTCAATTGTTTCCTGAGACCTGGCTGTGGGGCTTGTATCCTGTTGGGTAAGTTGTGTTTGAACTATACTTCCTGTGCTTGAAGCAGCACACATATGGAAACACGCTTCTAATGGCTACTGTATATCTCCAGTCAATCTTCACCATGTTGGTAGCTCTGAAGAGGTTAAATATTTCAGTTTAAAATGCAAGGCATTGGATCTAGGAGGGAAAATTCCCATTTGCAAGAATAAAACCTGTCATCTTTCTCTGTTACACCCCAAATTCTTTGCAGTGTTTCAGGAACAAAGCAAGTGCCTGTCACAGTTCCTGACTCCATCACTGAATGGAAACTCAGCATGTTCTGTACTTCCCAAAGCCATGGGTTTGGGATTTCCCCAGCAGTGGGCTTGACAGCCTTTAAGCCTTTCTTTGTGGATGTCACCATGCCCTACTCTGTGATTCGTGGGGAATCGTTTCCACTGATTGCCTCCGTCTTCAGCTATATGAAACAGTGCATACAGGTAAGATTAAAGTTGTGTTTGCAGGTAATGCTAAGCTAGGATAAGGATTTGCATTAACAATAATTTTTTTTGCACTAGCAAAAGTAAGGGCTGAGCTGCATGATCCCTTGTCCCCAGCATGAATACGGACCACCGACCACTTCTTAAGAGCAGGAACACACAATGCCGTCCTCTACTCTCCCTCAGTCCACCTGACATTTTCAGCTACTGATTTGTGTTGTCCAGTTTGCCTACTGCATCTCATTTCATGGTGCACAAAGACCTCTGCTCCAGTTGACCACAGAGAATGTCTTCTCCTTTCTGTCACTGCTTGCTGCACTTTGCAGCATTTTGTTTTATAAGTTCACCAGAGGAAGAAGAAAAGCTCTCCTTGTAGTCCAAGTGATAGAAAGAATGTTTACCGGTCCAGGAGGGGTAAAGAATGAGACCCAGTTTGATGTAGTGTTTAAGGCACCAGGCTGAAAACCAGGAGACTGAGAGGTTTAGTCCCACCTTAGGCACGAAGCCAGCTGGGTGACCTTTGGCCAGTCCCTCTCTCTCAGCCCTGGGAACCAGGCAAAGGCAAGCCACTTCCAAAAAACCTTGTCAAGAAAACTGCAGGGAATAGTTCAGGCAATTGCCAAGTCTACACTGACCCAAGTACAAAAAAAAAAAAAAAAAAAGGAGGGGGAGAAGCAGGGGAATCCACCAATCAGGGCTCTGGTGTATGTGATCTGGAGGGAACAGGATATCATCACTGTGGAGGAATGGGATGGAATCCAGAAAGGGATGTCTTAGGCCAGGTCCATTGCTAGCTAGTGTAAGTACAGGAGTCAAGCAGCTGAAGGCTGCAGTGCAGAAAAAACTCAGTTTTGTATGTGAGAAAAAAATAATCCTGGCTTGTTGGCCATTCACAGCATTTTTAGTTATTGTAGGCTGTACTTTTTGCCTCTGTATTTTTGAAGATTTATCATTTGTTGCATTTTTTGCTCTGCTATATTTTCATTTTCTTTTATGATAATGTTGTCAGTTTTTGTTGGGTGTTGAGGTGTCCTTGTGAGAGGTGTTTTGGGTAGAAATGTATCTTTTTGAGGTGTGTGTCTTTGAGAGAAGGGTTTCCATTCACTGAGGGGGGGTGTTAAATATGTGTGTGTGTGCGTTTTTTCTGATTTTTACTAATTTCCCATCTGGGAACTATATATATTGTTGTTGTTTGTGGAGGCAAGTATGTGTAGGTGGATGAAGAGAAACAAGATGAGTCCAATCAGTCATGCATAAATAGTAGATACCCTCTTCTGTGGGTAGTACTTTGGATCCAGAAGAACATTTAGCTTCTTTTATTTCTCTTTATATTCTGGCACACTAAAATGGCCAGCATGCCATTGGGAATAACTTGTCGCAACCAAATATGTTTTTTTAAAAAAAGCCTTAAAAAGTATCTTTTGTTAATTCTCCATATTTTTTGTCTTTCTACTCCTGTTTTTCCATTTATTGTGGCTGAGCTCTGCTCTTGATCTGTCTGTTCAACAGATCCAGATTACCCTCTACAGGTCTGAAGACTATGAGGTACAATTATGCAAGGGATGTAAATACACCAGCTGCCTGTGCACTAATGAAGCCAAAACCTTCTCATGGAACATAAGGGCTACTAAACTGGGTGAGGTGACCTAAGGGAGGATGGCTGGGCACACTGATGATAGATGCAACTAACTGTAGGGTATTCCAGTCAAGACCATTATCCCATCGTTGTGCAGTATTGAAACAGGTTCCTACTTATACTTGGACTCATATAGAATCTTGGATTAGCACCTAACTACCTTACGCCCAGATTTAGAACTCCTGCATCCATTCTCTAGAACCGATATTCTCTAGATTTTGTCCTGGAAAAGAAAGTGTTAACTATGTTGGAATAATATCTGGAACTTTTAATGTTCACGTTTGAAAGCTGTTGAGGGCTTCCTCCTTAATTCTTATAGTAACAGTTATATACAGTATATTCTATACCTCTAGTGAATCAGAAGGGTTGAAGGGAATGGATACTTCAAAAATGAGTGTGAGAGGACAGCCCTTCTACAAATAGGCTATGATGAGAAGTTCAGAGAAGGCACTGCCAATGTCTGGGCTATGGCCCTTATTTGATGTTTTTCTCTGGCAGATTGGTGAGTCATTGACATGCACTCAGACATGACTCTTCTTCTTGGCCAATGCACCAGGGACACACTCTTACCTGGAAGTCATATCATATGATTAATATATAATTTTGGCTTCAGTAGGACAATCATGCTGTCTATAGCTGGACTGGCCTCTATGGCTATTTTTATAAACAAGTACATATTCAGTGAATAAGCCTTTAAATCTTGCAGTGAAATGTTTTGTTCCTCAAATTCAAGTTTATTCTGATTTATTTAGCAATGGTCAATGGCTAGCAAGGCTGATCAATGGAATTAGGCAGCAGTACTGGAGGGAGAGTTTATAGAAGTTCTTTGGTGATTAGATTTCTCTATAAGTTGGTTTTTGCAGTGATTAAGACGTTGTTCTATCCCTCCATGTCAGGCATGGTAAACTTCACTCTCAGCACAGAGACACTGAATCATCGAGTATTGTGTGGCAGTGAGCAAACAATTGTGCCGGAAAAGGGCCAACAAGACATCTTGATCAAGCCTCTTCTTGTCCAGGTGAGTTTACAATCCAGCATTCCAGGCTTCTATAATCTTCCCTATCCTGACACTGGCCTGTTTTCAGTACAGGGAAAATGCTTAGCTAAATACCCCTCATGTGGCCCGTCATACAATCATAGGTACATATGAACTTCTACAGCTCATAAGAATAAATGCATTGTTACCTGCACTCCTTGCTCTGTACTTTCAGCAACCCGTACCACACGGGCCATTCCTATGTTTCTTTCCCTCTGTTTAATACTCATATAGCCCTTTTAGAGTCTAAAAGATGCTGAAGAGTCTAAGTAAATTAATTCCTGAATAGAAGCATTTTGCAGTCTACCATCACTGTGTAGGAAAGGCCAGGCTCTAGCAGTGATAAAACAGTATTTTCCCTGGTCAGAGGGCAGCCTCAAGGTGCAACAAATCTGCTAGGCTTGCTACTTTGGAGGCAAGTCTGGAAACTGCAGTGAATTGAAACAGGCAAAAGAGGCAGAATAGGGAGTGGCAGAGGAGACAGCAGATTTTATGCTGGTACCATTTTCTGCCAACTTAAGCATCAACCAAGAACATTTTGGCTCTGCCATATGGAAAGGCCTATGCTTCTTCCTGGAAAATGCGACAGGATCTCAAATTGGGGATGCTGTGGAAGATGGAAACTATTAATTACAACAGCCTCAAAGGCTCCAGATGACAGTTTCTGAATTGATTCCTAACTTCAGGAAAGAGCCAGAAGCATCTGCTCACACAGAGTCTGGGGCGATGAAAGGATCTGAGGAAAGAATATAATTTCCTTACCAGCCACTAGCAAAACACTCCCTTTGTATCACTTGTGTGGTGGTAAAAGTTACCCCCCCACACACATGTGAGCTGCATTCACTGCCAAACCTATGAAATGCCCCCCCCCCCATACATGTGAACTGCTTAAACTGCCCATGTAAGAAAATATTTACAGGTAGTCCTCGCTTATCAACCACTCGTTCAGCGGCCATTTGAAGTTGCAACAGCACTGAACGAGTGGTACTTATGACTGGTCCTTGAGGTTCCGGATGTTACAGTGCCCCCACAGTCCCAAGATCAAGCAAAATCAATGGAGAAGCCAGCAGGAAAGGTCATTAGTGGCTCTGGTAAGTCCCCTCCAGTCTTCTTGCGCTCGCACCCCACTGGACCATCCACCCCAGCTTTCCTGTGCTCACACATGGCCTGCACCGGGCTTCCCAGGGCCTCCCCCACCTCCCATGCCACTCCCTCACCCCTCTGTGGCACCCCCACGTTCCTTACCCGGGACTCCCACCACTTCCCGCTACATGTCCTGGGGTTACAATGGCAACTGGGACTGCCAGGATTGTTGTTGCTAAGTGATGCAGTCATGTGACATTGCACTTTATAACAGCATCGCTTAGCGAAAGCAATCCCTGTCCCAACTGCTATTATAACTCAAGGACTACCTGTACAGCAAGCTGAATTGACCCTGAGTGGCAACAGGGGGAGGAATCAGCCAGGAACTTGTGGCCCAATAAACCAAATTGTTTATATTCCCTGACCGTATCTCAGATATGGCTAGCATGCTGACCTAGTATTTATTTTATTTTATTTATTTTAGAAGATTTGCATGGCCGCCCATCTTAGAACTCTGGGCAGAAGGTCCAGAAAGACATTAATAATAGGGTCACACAGATAGGCTTATCAAAAACATTCTGTCATTGCTGTAATTTACACGGTGTCTGCCTTTTTCCTTTGTCTTGCCTCTACAATGTATTAGGCCAAAGGTATATAAGCTCTGGTTCTGCTATTGATCAGGGCTGATCAGCAATGTATCAATTTTTGCTGGGAGCCCTGTATATACTGTGTTATTGTGTGCATGGTAATAAAATTATGTTGTATCTTCAAAGTGATTTGGTTGCTTTAGGTGAGCCAGGTTTTGACCACAACAGTTGTTTCCAGATGTTGACTTTCTTTAGCTAAACCACCTCTCAAACAGAGCCCATTGCATTGCATTGCATTGCTGCTAAAGACCAGAGGAGAAGGTTTCTAAGAAGCATGTCAAGCTTTTAATTGGGACTGTAGACTGTGCTTAATTATGATTATTTGTGATGTTTTCTTTCCCCAACCTCCAAGCCTGAAGGTGTCCTGGTGGAGAAATCTCATAGTTCCCTGCTATGTTCTAAAGGTCAGTTGAAATTCAGCCATTAACCTTAGGGTCTAAAAAAAGTTCGGGGGAATAAGCCAAATAGCTTATTATTAATTGCCTGGTTTCCTATAAACATCTTTATCCTCCTCACAACCTTTTTTGAAATTACATTGACAATGTAGTAGCTGCACAAGTCCATTTTCTTTCAGTGAAGATTGTGCAAATGAGTTTCCAGATGGATTGTGTCACATAAGGTAGATGTGTGTTTCTCCTAACCTGTGTTTTACCAGGTTTTGTTACCTGTAGCAATTGCTTCATGCTGTCTCATAGCAGGTTAGTTTTTGATTAGGAAAACATCACTGTGGATACAGCGGGAAAATCTTTCACCTCAGATATAGTTCTGCTAAGGTCAGGTGTGGCATGCTTGTCAGTCAGTAAATTTATGTGGACATGAGGAATGGGTTTCCTTGAACATGAAAAGAAAAAATAACGTGAAAATTGAGAACAATTGTGCATTTCATCATAGTCAAATCACTGAAACTGGATGGTTGACACCCTGTTAGGAGTACTAAGATCATCATGCAGAACATGGTTTTATTGTATTTTAATTAGTATTTATCCTTGTTTTTATTGTAAACCGCCCAAAGTTGCTTTTTGAGTGAGATGGGCAGTGACTAAATTTGAAATATAAATACATAAATACATTCCATGCACAATAAAACCGTGGGAGCCAATTGAGAACCAGACCAGAGCTGACACTTGGCATGTGATATACTGTAGCTTTCTCTGTCTTTTTTAAAAGAAACAGCCACTGAGAGGGACTAAGAAGTTTGGGACTCCAACATGGGTAGAGGGATGGGACAGAGATTTTTCAAACCACTGTTCCCACTACAGTCTCCTTCAAAATCACCCCCTCTGCCCCACTCCAAGGTACCTTTCATGATGGGAAATTTGCTACCTAGGTTTACCTTGGTCCTATGTGTTCCTGCAGAGGCTTTTGTGTGCACTGCTCTCATTCACATGTTTACCCTTTCATCCTCCTACCACTAGGAGCTTTGGCTTCAGATTCATTCTCCCTGCAGCTACCTGAAGATGTTGTGCCAGATTCATCCAGGGCCCAAGTGTCTGTCATTGGTAAGACATTTAGCCAGTTTAACTTTTATGATCTGTCTCCATTCTGATTTATGTATGAAGGTATCAGGGTACAACAAGGAGATTGTAGAACATAAGGAAGATGACCTTGACAGAGATATGCAGAAGCTGTTACATAGAACATCCAGATAACATTTCGAAGAGGATCAGACAGGTATCTCCCTAATTCACTGAACTATAAGAAGGAGAACATACAGCACAGACTTACAAGATTCTGATACTATATCCGGTTTTAATAAAAGTAGTTTTAACCTTCCTTGAAGTTGATTTCTTGGTCTGGTCTACCTAGTGGGGCTGACAGAGATGCACAGGAGGTCTATAGAGTGCTCCAAAATCAGGTTATATCAGGTATATTATGGAAGATCTGAATGATTGCTTGATCATTCCTGTTCCTCAGGTGCCAATCAAGAAAATAAACAATTAAAAATTGAAGGGCTTCAGCTTAGTAGGTTATGGCTCATGGTGTAAATATCAAGACATATTGGTGCAATGTAAACAAATTTGGTTGTGTGATAATATCATTTAGGACACACATATGGGTAGGGAATATGTCCCATAGCATAACAGATGCTCCTGGTTTGTTCACAATGTACTGAGCTGATTTCATAAAGTTGTTCCAGTTTTTCTGAACACCTACCATTGCCAACATTGTAATTTTCTTTCACAAGGATCTAGGCTGACAGTGAAAGTTTATATCCCATCATGGATGCACTCATTTTTGCTCCTAGGGTGATCCCATTTTTATTGGGACATATTGTGCCTAGAACTCTGTGTTTTCATGTCTTCATTGTATGAATCTTGTTGCCTTATAACCTTTAACTTCTTAGTGCTCAATGTATGTCATGGAAACATAACAATTAAGCTTGACTTATTGTCATGTTAGCAAATATGTTCCATCTGTCACTACCATTGACACTTTTACTATATGTTCACTTCTTAAATATATTTAAGTAGCCCATCAGACCTAGATGTTAAAGTAGGGATACTAAGAACTGATATAATTCATAACAAATCTCTTGATGGTAATTGAAGGAAATCTAATATTTAGCTTATCAAGGAAATTAAACAAATACATTACTTCTAGGTTATAGTTGGAAACCATATATTGACTTTCATTTCTTGGGACAGCTCAGAAATATATTTTGCGTTTTTGCAGATATACCACATCTGGTTGACATGAGTTAGTTAACTGTATTACACTAACTGATCAGCATTTTGTGCAATTATTATAAGGTGTTATAAAATACTGATTAAAATGCATATAAAATTTTATAAAATCAATAGAAATCAGTAGAATAATTTACTATAACACCATAAATGCAGATAATAAGATGCTAACAAATGTAATTTATACTGATTAACAGGATTCTGAAACTATTTTGTGAATAAAATACAAAAATGCATTGAACTAAATACTAAGTACTTAGTATATGTGCATCTCTCTCTCTCTCTCTCTCTCTCTCTCTCTCTCTCTCTCCCCCTCCCTCCCTCCCTCTCT